TATATATATATACAATTCTTTAGATCCATTGTTCATTCAGAATAGAAATAATTGTTTTAATCTAAGTAAACTGACTAACACTGTTCTGTAATATTTGTAATATAATTTATTGTCATTTTTTATTATGTAATCATCCAATCTAGTTTAAGTTGTTGGCCATTTTAACAAGGTTTTTACACCTTATACTTGAAAATGTAATCAAAATTTTAATTATCTACTCACCCTCATGTCGTTTCAAATCCATAAGACTTTCTTTCTTCTATTCGGGATGCTTTTGAACTGCAAAAATGATCTATATGACCAATGTACCATATTCCAAGTCTTTTGAAATCATACAGTAGCTTTGTGTGAGGAACACACCAGTATTTAATATCTCTTCTGCCTTGGCTTTCAAATTTAATGCATAGAAAAACTTGAAATATTGTGCACAAGTCACACAGACCACTTTTATGGTGGCAAAACATTCATTTTAAGCCAACTAACTCCTTAATAAGATCATAACTTGGTATTTTCAGTAGAATTTTTTCATCTTGTTGTTAGTGCTGTGGTGCTCATGCAGGCGACACAAGTTTGAATCCCGCTTGCAACATTTCCAAACCTCATGTCCTCACCATCTTCACATAATTTCCTGTCGTTTCTCCACTACATTCATAATAAAAAAAGTAACAATGGCAGAGAAAGAATTTGGAACCCAATTTGGAACCAACATAAAAAGCACTTCAGAAAAAGGGAAAAACCAACGAAGAGTCTAAACATATACAAAACTTAAATAAAGACTTGTTAGCGAACTAATTTAGACTACAAAGACACCATGCAGCATCTAAAATCATCTTGCATTTGACTCCGAATCTTTTCTATCCATTATGCAGCAGTGTCATTCTCGTTTACACTGGCCTATTTTCATTCTGCACAAGAGCACAGTTCTGAAAGGTTGTGTGTTTGGGGGCGAGTGTGAACGTCTCTGGCAGGAGCTCTCGGGGTGGGGACGTCTTGCATGAGTTCAGTCCGTAGCTGCAGGCGCGCAGGTCGACAGCCACGCACATGCCATCTGTACCCAGCCCCGCTGCCAGGTTTGCCCGTGGACGCAGGCGCTCATCTGAGCGTGAAGGGTGGATTGATATTCCAGGGAAATTGTTTGGCTAACCACACTTTGAAAGTGATTGTGGGCTTTCTTTCAGCCCTGTCTCTGCACGTTACCCAAAAGGCCTCTGTGGGCGAGACAGAGTCGAGAAAATTGACCCTAATTATGTGTCATCATGGCCAGCCGATCATGGGGAGATGGGAAAGGATAGTGTTTTTTTTTTCTTCCTGCGCTCTAGTCCTGCAAGTATCGATGTTACGATAACCTGTGGTCTTACGATAAGCCTTTCAGATCACACTTTTTCAGATCACACTGAGCCCCTCTTCCAGTCTGGAACATTTTTATTTCCTGGATTTAGAATCTTTGTTCAACAGATTTAGTGGAGTGACAGGAAATTATAGCAGAGAGATGTGAGATCAAGATTAATCTCAGATTGGAACTTGCATCACCCACATGTGCACCATGGCTCAATGTCAATGCCAGTTGGCCTGAACAACCCAAAAACTAAAATCATCTTGCATTTGACTCCGAATCTTTTCTATCCATTATGCAGCAGTGTCATTCTCGTTTACACTGGCCTATTTTCATTCTGCACAAGAGCACAGTTCTGAAAGGTTGTGTGTTTGGGGGCGAGTGTGAACGTCTCTGGCAGGAGCTCTCGGGGTGGGGACGTCTTGCATGAGTTCAGTCCGTAGCTGCAGGCGCGCAGGTCGATAGCCACGCATATGCCATCTGTACCCAGCCCCGCTGCCAGGTTTGCCCGTGGACACAGGCGCTCATCTGAGCGTGAAGGGTGGATTGATATTCCAGGGAAATTGTTTGGCTAACCACACTTTGAAAGTGTGGGTGGGCTTTCTTTCAGCCCTGTCTCTGCACGTTACCCAAAAGGCCTCTGTGGGCGAGACAGAGTCGAGAAAATTGACCCTAATTATGTGTCATCATGGCCAGCCGATCATGGGGAGATGGGAAAGGATAGTGTTTTTTTTTTCTTCCTGCGCTCTAGTCCTGCAAGTATCGATGTTACGATAACCCGTGGTCTTACGATAAGCCTTTCAGATCACACTTTTTTAGATCACACTGAGCCCCTCTTCCAGTCTGGAACATTTTTATTTCCTGGATTTAGAATCTTTGTTCAACAGATTTAGTGGAGAGTGACAGGAAATTAGCAGAGAGATGTGAGATCAAGATTAATCTCAGATTGGAACTTGCATCACCCACATGTGCACCATGGCTCAATGTCAATGCCAGTTGGCCTGAACAACCCAAAAATAGATGACAGGTCTGATGACACTTTGGACAACGAAACGAAACGAAATGAAAAGAAAAAATGTTTGGTCATTGAAAAAACTTTTTAAATACATTTTACATATATTTATTATACATGTATACTAAATATGAAAAATGAATAGAAAAATTATTATAAAAAACAAAAAACAAAATGTTAAATTATATAAAAATATATATTTTAGATTTTAAAAACAAACATAAAAAATTGATGTATTTTATATTTCATAAATTATAATGATATAAAATATAATTGTGATATTTTAAAATATAAAAAGCTAAAATACATATTTGTTAATTTTATAATATATTATTGAATATTTTCATTAGTTTTTGTTTTTATATTTTCTGTTCTCATTTTAATTTTAGTTAGTTTTAGTAATTGTGTAGATGTGTTTTGTCATTTTTATTAGCTTTTAAATAGGTCTGTATAGTTTTCCTGTTCTTATTTTAATTTTAGTTTTAGTAATTTTGCTGTGTGCTTTTGACATGTTTATTAGCTTTTTAAGTATGTCTGTATAGTTTTTATACATTTTTATAGCAGTTCTAGTTTTAGTTATTTTAGTATGCGAAGTTAAATTAAATGAAAATTAGAAAAATGTTGCCTTGATAGCTACTGTAGCTGATTTAAATTACTGATATAAAAACTTTTTAAAAATTATTATATTTCAGATAACGGTTTTTTTTTTCAGATAAAATAAAGTTTTATTTCAAGTAACAAAAGTTTATTTTATGGTTTTAATTTTAGTTAATAACCCTGAATCCATTTAAATGCGAAAAGTGAATTTAGGCATCACTATGTTATAATGTACAGAATGAAAAACAGATATTCACTTTGAGGTTTGCTAAAGTTTATACTTAACAAGACTTACTTGATTACGTGAGTGTTAGATGACCGCAAAAGTAATCAAAAATGTCAAAATAGATGGAAACGCACAAAAAATTAAATATCCAATATAAATATAAAAACAACGTACAAATGTCTCCTGTGTCGATGCTTTGCAGGTTTCACTTACTTCTACAAGGACAAAGAGTACTGGAAGTTCAACAACCACAGGCTGCGGGTGGAGCCCGGCTACCCTCGCTCCATCCTCAAAGACTTCATGGGATGCGACCTCATGCCCATCGACCCCGACATGCTGCCGACGGAGGATGAGGACGTGGTGATTAAACTGGACAACGAAGCCAGCACGGTCAAAGCCATCGCCATCGTCATTCCCTGCGTCCTGGCGCTCTGCCTGCTGGTGTTGATCTTCACCGTCTTTCAGTTCAAGAGGAAGGGGACGCCCCGACACATACTGTACTGCAAACGCTCCATGCAGGAGTGGGTGTGAGTCACACGGCCACAAGACACGGTGGCGTAAACACCCTAAACTTGCGGACTTTGGCTCTCGACCTGCGTCTCGCTCAAGGAGAACAGCGAGGGCCTTTGCTTTGATTCCCCCCTCCAGGAGACGAGGGGCGCATTTCCCTCCAAAACTCCCTTCTCTTGTCCCATTGGCCCCGGTGCACCCGCTGTAGGACTTGCGGGAGGCTTTCGGGATTGCAAGGATCCCATGGTGCATTGCACCATCCAGTGCCACTGTTTGACGTGGAAATCGCTGATTGCTATACCTTTAGGTTTTACAAGTGCACGCTGAAAACATGAAAAAATTAACGAAAATGTCGCAGGGGTCGCGGTTTTTTTTACTTTCCGAATTTTCGTTTGACTCCGATCTATTTATTTTCAAACCGAAATATTTACGATTCCCTTTAAAGCATCCCAAACCAAATAAAGACTCCAAAGAGGATCTTTTTTCTTCTTTTTACGATTTTTTTTTATTATTATTATTATTCCCTCCCTGCTCTAAATATTTTGCAGTGATATGTAGTGGGGAAGTTTTGACTGTTGTGGCAGTCTGTCTCAAAAACAGGGGCCAAAATATTCTGCAATATTTTTAATAGCCTTAATTATGGATTGTGTTGTTGCTTTTGTTTCCGTTTATTCGTTTGTTTTTAAGCACCGCTTCGTTTGTCCTGTCGGATCGGCAGTGCAATATTGCTTTGCTCCCTTTGAGATCGATTTGAGACCTCATTTTTGCCAGGGGCCGCACTGGAACGGGGCGGGACTCCTTAACCTCTGCCTAACATATCAGTCAAAACAGAGGGAAGACCAAGCCACTGCAACGACAAATACTTTATCGCGTTTTTTCCGTCCGACGGTAGAATTGCAACGCAAAGGAAGTGCTTGAACCGTTTATTGTGCTTAACGCTCACTCGTTTGGTCGTGTTTACACGGACAGAGATTTGAGAATTCGTTTCTTCCCTTTTTCCGAAAGGTTGCTGTTCGAGACAGAGCATGTCATCTCCTTCGGACTGCCTTGTTTTTAGGTCTGGATGGCATTCGAGAACATTGACGTTTGAACCAGAACCACCAGAGCAACTCAGGACAGCGCTTGATTCAAAGTGTATGCAAGCCTTCACATCCAGTCCTGTGTCTTTATTATCAACCGAGAAGAAAATCAAGGATGTATCATGTAACGTTTCATCATTGCTTGTGATCGGAAGTTTCTGCAAAAGGATCAAACGATTTTTTTTTACGGAGTCAGAACTTTCGGTTCAGTTCATGTCTTGCAGTCTGACTCTAGATCGGTCCTTTGCATCGAACGGATGTTTGAACATACAGTTATTTGCTTGCATTAGCATTTTTTTATGTTTGTTTTTCTTTTCTTTTTTGGTACATTTGAAATCAAATGGTCTTAACCTCAACTTTAAAGTGGTACTTAAAGTGGTAAGCTGTCATCTGACGTTTCTTTAGATGCGAGAAAAAAAACAAAAAAAACATACGTGATCTAAAAGAAACCATATGCGTGTTTCTGGCAAGCAGTGTTTGAATGTGTGTCTGTATTGATGCTAGATTTTTCTTTCTTCTTTCTTTTTTCCTTTTTCATTGTTTTAAGAAAAAAATGGGACATTCTTCAAATTCATGTACTTCATGACTCGGTTTGGGACGAACTGTCCCGACAGACTTAATAAATTAATCAGTATATGATTAAAATGCCTTTTAACGCTTTGTTCACATTTACTACACATACATATTCAGTCTGGGAAAATATAAACATCTACTCTTTTAACTAACACAAATACTATGGTAATACCATTCTTCAAATTACCATAGTATTTTAGTACGGTAATCATTTAGTACCACACAATATATCAAAACACTATGGTATTACCATGGTACTGCCACAGTATATTTCTGCCTTTCTTTCACTTACAAAAAATGTACATGGTATTTTGGACATTTTATCATAGTACTACAATGGTATTTGAACATGGTACCATGATACTACTATGTTATTTACTATGGTATTTTGGACATTTTACCATGGTACTAATACCATGGTGTTCTGAACATGGAACCGGAGTAATATGGTATTTTGGACATTTTGCTGTGACATTTGAACATAATACCCTGATACTACTATGGTATTTTGAACATGGCACCATGGTACTATAAAATCTACTTTGGTATTTTTTACATTTTACCATGGTATTTGATCATGGTACCATGATACTACTATGGTAATTTGATCATTTTACCATGGGACTGCTATGGTATTTTGAACATGGTACCATGATACTACTATGGCATTTATTATGGTATTCTGGACATTCTACCACGGTACTACCATGGCATTGAACATTATACCATGGTATTTTGGACATTTTACCATGATATTTAATCATGCTACCGTGATACAGCTATGGTAGTTTGAACATTTTACCATGGGACTGTTAGTATGGTACTACTATGGTATCTACTATGGTATTTTGGACATTTTACCATGGTACTGGTAAATTGAAAATGTACCATAGCACTACCTATTTTACACATTTTAACATGGTATTGCCATGATATTTTATACATGGTATCATTTGACCATGGTACTACTATGGTATTTTTAACACATACCATGGTATTACCATAGTATTTTTGACTTTTTATCATGGCAATGCCATGGTATTCTGATCATGTAGCACTGTATTAAGGATATGTACCATATTCTTGGAAATACCATGTAAATACAATGACACGTGAGTTCCAATACCATGATATATCTCAAAAGTACCATAGTATTTCCACCTGATGTACCATGTACAGTACATTTTGTAAGTGTTCTATCCTTTCTCTTTCTCACTGTGCATGTGTATGTGTGCATGAGTGCATCTGAACGTTTCCCAGAATCCCAGCCGATCAAACACGTCAGCTTTGAACAGCTGAGAGGAAACGGCAATCATTAAATAATCCAGAAAATCGAGTATCATAAAGGTGGTGTGTATCCTGTGGTTATATTTAGCTAGTATGATAAGAATCAGAGCATAAAATATGAGACGGCGGTGGGCAGAGGCATTTAGAACTCGCCAAGTGCAAAAGTAAACAGAGACAGCCTGCGGCCCATGCGCATTCTGATTGGCCGTCGGAGCGCTGGCATGGCGGATGAGGTCAGGTCGGGCATCCAACTGCCATCTATGTTCCAATTCAAATCTAGCTCAGCAAAATGACTGCGGCCATGGTTACTGCAAGCATAATGGCTGAGATGAGAGATTAAAGCGGTAAATGACCCGGATTACTGTCTGTGACTGTTTTTTAAACGTTAATCACTCTAAACCGACCAGCAATGTTGATAATAGGGATGTGCGAAACTACATATTTTCAAATTCAAGTACTCGGTGGGTCGTCTGAATGACTAGTCAACTAGTTAGGATCAAATGTAAGGCCAAAAATATCTGATTGCATGTACACTACTATTCAAAAGTCTTGGGTTGGTAAGACGTTTTTGTGATGGTTATGAAAGAAGTCTCTTCTGCTCACCAAGGCTGCATTTATATGATACAAATACAGTGAAAAGTCTATTATTGTGAAATATTATTACATTTTAAAATAACTGTTTTCTATTTAAGCATATATTAAATGTAATTTATTCCTGTGATGCAAACCTGAATTTTCAGTATCATTACTCCAGGCTTCAGAGTCACTTGATCCTTCAGAAATCATTCTTATATGCTGATTTGCTGCTTTAAGAAACATTTCGTATTATTACCAATGCTGAAAACAGTTGTGAGGCTGAAACCATGAGATCTTTTTCAGAATTCTTCAGTGAAAAGAAAGTTCAAAAGAACATATATTTGAAACGGAAAACATTTGTGACATTATGTCTTTACAGTCACTTTTGATCAAATTAATATGGAAGCCAGTTTCTGCCACAGAATAAAAAAAATAAAAAATTATATATATATATATATATATATATATAAAGATAATTGCAACTTTTTAGCGTGCAATTCTGACTTTCTCTTAAAAGTCTGAATTGTGAGATAAAAAGTCGCGATTACATTTTTACATTCTTTTTTTTTAGTATGTGGCACAAAAAAACAAACAAAAAAATGAATTTTGTAATGTAAACTTAGGATTCTGAGAAACAAAAACGTCAGAATTGTGAGATTTAAACTCAAAATTGAGATCATTTTTTTTAAAGAAGTTTATATTTTACAATTTAGACTTTTTTCTCAAAATTGCAAGAAACAAAGTCCAAATTATGGGATATAAACTTAGTTATAAAAACAGTTGCAATTAAATTTTTTCATTTTTTTATTCAGTGGTGTAAAAATAAATAAATAAAACAAATAAACCCCACACTTTTGAATGGTAGTGTACATAAACTATAAAAAAAATTTTTTTTTTTTTATTAATTATCAAATAATATATTCATCTGACTATAATTTTCTTAAAAGAGGTGAATTTGTTTTTCGATGGAATCAGTGGTGGAATAAATGCAACTAAAGACAATTCCTCAGAGAGAGCATTTTATGCTGAAAATCTGATATTACCGTATTGGCCCGAATATAAGACGACCCTGATTATAAGACGACCCCCCCTTTTTCCAGATGTACCTTTTGGAAAAAGGCTTTTTAAAAACCAAATCTTGTTTTTTCTCAGTAAAACACATTTTGTCTTCAATTATTTTCATATTGCATATTTTTCCTATTTTAATTTTTGTTTTGAAAGTATGGTAAAAACTGGTAAAATGTACCAACAATCACATTTAAAAAATATACACTTTTTGATATACCATAAAAAAAAATAAAAAAAACTGGTAGCCCATCTGAATTAGGACATTTAGGCTATCCATCTAATAGTAGCCTACCAAAATCTTATTAACAGTAGAAGTTCAATCTTACTGTAGTCTTCAAATCTGGGTACTGTCTTACGTTTTAAAATCACAAAGGGAGTTTGGTCCCATCATGCTAACGTGACAGTCAGGATTCATGCAGCTGTAAGGTTTTCTTTTTCTTTTGTTTTTATTCGCGATCTTTACAACACGCATTACATTACGTATTTCATGGCACACTCGTTTTATGCGTATTTGGCGCCACCTATTGTTGTGGGTGTATTATTGACATGTCAAAGTCTAGACCCTGAATATAAGACGACCGCGTTTTTTCAGATGTATTTCCAAGAAAAAAATATCGTCTTATTTTCGGGACAATACGGTAATATGATCATGCTAAAGCTCCGTGTTCTAAAACGTTCACTGTGAAGTTGTGTCTCTAAATTCATCCCCTTTAAACTGCAACAAAAATATTTAATACATAAAAAAGAAAAAAACATCTACTATTTGAACTCATTTTTGGATGTCCATCTGACTAGCTGATCATAAACGGACGAGCATACGACGCGCGTGTTTATTCACTAAGAAGCTAATCTGTCGTTGTGTATGAACAGTGAGTCTGGTCTCTCTCTGAACGTTTTCTGTCTAACCGACAGAACTTGTGGTGCTAACTGGACCTACACTGGTGAGCGTCATCCTGTACATTTTTGGTGCTGTTATTATTTTAGACATTATGGATTTACACTTGATTTGATGATGGTCCGTGCAGGAGTAATGTATTCGCGCTCATGTAGCACTAGTCGTGATGGTGCATGGATTGATAGTTTAGCGTGTTAAAGGCTCGCGTATATTTCCTGTGTGTTCTGTGAAGGCCTTAAGCTTCAGCTAAGTCAGGTGTCAAAGGTCGTGCCGCCCATCGGCTACATGTTGGTGCTAGACCCTGATTCATGTTTACAGTTTCTGTAACTTTAGCAAAGATGTGGTTTTCTGTTTGCTTTGCGACATGGTATCATTTATTCTCCAGACTAACGTCTCAGTTCCTCCAACTCATTAGCATCTGTGCTAATCTCAATCATCCTCATTGTCATGTGTATCGTCTTGCCATCCTGATTATGTTAAACGATTCCAAATGAAGGAAACAAACGAAGTCTGAAAAACATGTTTATACTTTTTCATTCTGTCTGTATCCCTGTATTTGTGATGTATCTGTTGACGATCCATTTCATTGATCAATAAACTCATTTGAACATATTTCCCCTGAGCATTTTTGTGTTGATCTACCTGTACCATCATCATGCATCCTCATTTTCACTCTGTTGTGGTTGATTCATTATTATTCCTAGTCCAAACATCACTGTCTCTGGGAAAAAAAAAAAAAAACTAAATAAAAAATAAATTGACAAATAAAAAAACTAGACTCAAAACTATAAAATACTTTATATGAGAATGTATAAAATATAAGTAGAAAACATTTTTTACACTAACTTTAAATACAAAAGCAAATTGACAAATAAAATAGAAATAAAAACTCAGAAAGTATAAAATGTAAAAAAAAAAAAAGCTAAAATATTAATTAAAAAATATTCATACACACACACAAAAATCTAAATATACAGAAAACTTAGAAAACTAAAACAGATTAAAACGTACAAACTAACTATAACTGAGCTAAATAAAAACAAATAGAAATAAAAACTAAATAAAAAATTCAAAACTATTTTATATAAGAATGTATAAACATTAAAAAAAAAAAAACATTTGCTCAAAAAAAAATTGTATCAAAAATATTTGCAC